CTTGCTGCCAGCCGCTGAAGAGGGAGCCGAGGCGGAGGACAGTGGCCTGTCGGGAGCCGGTGGAGCAGCACCCGGCGCTGCTGGAGGCCCTGGTACTGGCGGCGCTGGGGCGCGCGGAGGACTAATGGGCGTGCCGGAGGAGGAAGATGACGATCGCGTTGACGCACGGAACGCAGCAAGCCGCCTAGCCACGAGCACCTTCTGATTGTGGGAGACAGGGCGCAAAGGATACAAGAGGTCGGCTGAATAGGAAATGTGCGTGTCACATGAGAGGTAGAGTGTAGCTATAGAGAGAAAAAAACCCAAGCGAACCCGCGTTTATTATCTCAGCTCATTATACCGGAGAGCGGAGAGCAAAGCAGGTACATAAGACCGATTCTCAACAAGAATATGAAAGAAACAGTTCCCTCTCTGTTCGATCAATGTTGTGCTGGGATACTATGGTTTGTTTTCCGCCGGATCGCGGTATGAAGTCTCGGGTGAAGAGAACAAGCTCGTGGAAGCACAGGTGAACTAATATTTCCCTACTGGGACGAGGACCATGTGTAACGTATTGTGAAGCAGGAGGGGTTTTTATTTATTCAAATGCAAGACAGCAGAGGCAAGCTTTACCGGGGCTAAAGCCCGGGCTGTAGCAGGTAAGACGCCGTACCAGATGCATGGTTCGAGTGAATGACACATCAGTCCTCATGTAAGTTAACTTTAGTTACTCAGCGCGGTGGAGTGAACGATCACCAAGTAGGGCGACGTGTCAGCAACGAGTGTCTAGGTTTCCTAATAGGCAAGGGAGTCTGTTTATATTCAGATTCAAGTTGACGAGATCAAAATTTGGCAGAGTAATGAATAGTGATGATGTGTTTGTTTTGATTTGAGCGTAGCTCGTATCTATTTGTTCAGCCAAAGCAGTCGCTAATCTTTGGGGGTGGTCATTAATCTTTATGATAACAACAAAAGCAGAAAAACAGGGCGGAGGGTTTTGCTTTTTCAGTCTCCATGCCCCATATCAATCCCAGTACACCAAACACCGTGATGTGATGATAACCCAACATTCTAATTCGCTTCCCCAGTATCTCGGCTTCGGCGGAACTATAACAACACCGCGCTCACGGTAGCTTTATGCAGCATCCGCACTAGCCACGGGCTGGACAATCTTGGTGATCTGCGAACCCGCACGGATGATACGCTTGCCAGAAGTGTCGTTGACGTAAGTGACATCCTTGTTCTCCAATTGGGCGCGCTTCCAGATCTCGACCTCGCAGCCACCGCGGAGGACACCGACACGCATGGTAGACAGGAGGTTGTGGGCGGCGTTGGAGTGAAGGTAGACACCGCCGTTGAAGGTGGCAGTGGCATCCTTGCCGACGGCAGAGCCGATGAGAGCCTTACCACCGGGATGCTCCTTTATGAAGTCAGTCACATCGTGGACAACACCAGCGATAGCAACGAGGCCACGGCCGTTCTTGGCCTCGGCGACGAAATCATCCCACTCCATGACGGGGAGCTGCTCAAGGGGAGTACCCCAGTCAAGAGTCGCGCGCTTCTGGTCAAGCTTCTTCTGGAGCTGCTGGACACGACCCTTCTCGATTTCGTTGGAGCGGAACTCCTTGAGGTCGTAGGCAAGGCCCAGCATCTTCCACATGGCGATGTGCCACTTGGTGGGGTCGTACTGCCACCACTCGATAGCATTGCGGTAGTCGGAGGGGAACTCGTGGTGGAAGTTGTGGTATCCCTCGCCGAGGGTGACGATGGCGGTGACGAGGTGATCACGCGGAGAGTTGCGGTCGTCGAAGGGCTGGTCGCCGAGCCAGTGAGCAAGAGAGTTGACGCAGAAGGTAGCCTGCTGGACGAAGAAAACACGAAGAATGCCTCCGTAGATGAAACCACCCCAGTAATCGCCCCAGCCAAGACCGCAAACGAGGGTGGGCACGATGAGGGCCATGGTGACGAGAGACTTGAGGAAGTTGACATGCTGCCAGACGACGACGGGATCATCGTTGAGATCGGCAATATCGGTACGGCCGAGGCGCTTGGGGTTCTGCTTCATGATCATCCAGCCAAGGTGGGAGTAGAGAAGTCCCTTGCGAACGGAGTAGGGGTCCTTGTCGGTGTCGGTGTAACGGTGGTGGGCACGATGGCCGCGAGACCACCAGCGGATGGAACCCTGGACTGAGCCAGAGCCGCAAGCAGCGAGCCAGATCTTGAGAGGAAGGGTGGCTTTGTACGAAGTGTGGGCCCAGAGACGATGGTAACCTGTAAAGAGTTCGAGTCAGTCAACAAATCCTACAGATGTGCAGGGTAGTCAGATTGAACGAGAGGCAACTCACCAGCTGTGATTCCGAGACCGGTCTGCACATAGTACCAAACTGTGAAGATGGCGGTCTTCTTTTGAAGAGGAGTCCAGTAGGCTGTGACGAGGCCGGCCAGCGGCACCAAGAGGATAAAGACGACGTTGAGCCAGTTGACGTGCTGGTGCCAGTTGGCCGAGGTAATAGGCATCTCGGTGATGTGAGGCTTCTTCAGGTCCTGTGGGGAGGCACGCAGAGGCCTGTAGTCCTTTGTGCCATCTTGAGCAGGCGCGCCCTCAGGCTTTGTCGCTGACACTGCCATGATGGGAGTGTCGAGGAAGATGCCAAGGGGAGGAGTTGGCAGTCGATGTGAGAGGTGAGGTTGAAGAGGGGAACTCGGGGCCTGGGCAGAGAGGTAGGGAGAGTATTTATTAAGTGCATGCGGCGGATAGAGTGGATGGTGTATGGCTCGGGGCAGTGGCGTGGCGGGTGGAGGGCCGAGGAAGAAGCCGGTTGAGGATCCCAGACAGAACCCTGGGGTGGAGAGAGTGGAGGAGTGGAGGTGGCGGGAGAATGGTGTGCTTGGGCGTTGTGAAGTTTGATATCGAGCATGGGGTCTGTTCGATGGCTGGCTGTGATGCAGTGCGCTGTACCTTGGTCAAGTCACCACTCATGCCTCGCCTGCCACCAGTAACGACCTTTGGTTTACGGCACAACACGCACACACTCCAGTACCTGTAGGTACCCCTATGGGGGTAACTATCTACCTAGACCTGCCACAGTCCGGTGCGCGCGTCGCGGATCCCGACAATCGCCTCCTCCGCCCCAACCACGTCCCCCCGCTAGTCTCGACCGCAGCTCCGAACAGGCCAAAGCCGGCTGCGACCGGTAGGGGTCAGTAGGACGACATTTGTTCCTGCTGGCTTGTGACAGTTGCCTGCCAGATCTGATGCCGCCAGAAGGACAAGCAGGAAAAGTCTGTTCGGGTTCGTCATGGAAAGCCAGCAGCTTCTGGAATTTTGTTGAATTGTTGGGGCGGGTGGAGCAGGTGGAGCAGGTGGCGGGACGATCCGGCCAATGAACTTACACCGAGGCCGAGAACGCCCTGGCAGTTTCGTCCTGCGGTTTCCTCATTCGGGTGCAGCCCCTGCCTGTCGCGCCTGCTTACACACATACCTCCGACCTCCTCGCACGGCTTCGGCGGTTTGTGTCAGCTCTCCGACGACTTCGGGACACATAATCAGCTGCTATCCGTACCATCCATCCATCAATCATGTTCAGGCTTGCCATGGGCAGTTCATGGCCTCACAATCGCCCCGCGTGCCACGACTGATTATTACGAGTCCGTGATTGTGATTGCTGTTGGCGCAGCAAGACACACGCGACTATGACATGATCCGTGTGACATGATGCGTTCAGCCGGCGTTGTTGGGCCGGGCGAAGGGCTCGCTTCTCTTCGACTGGGCGAGACTGGGCCAGACCAGACCAGTTGTCACAATGGCAATGCCACCGGGACCTGCATTGTCGACTAGCTTCCGACTTTCTTTGACAGGTCATTGGCTCAGCTTTTCACTCGGGACCCCGAGGTGTTTGCAACTCTACAGCGTACTATGGTACAAGTCGAGCATCCAGGATAAACGGCTGCAACGACGCCCTGAGCAGCGCCTGGGCAGGGGTTGCCGGGAACCCCGCGCCCAAGGCCCAAGAAGATGCAGCCTTGCGCCCGACCCTTGCCATTGCCGAACATCCTCTCTCCACACTTTCTCCCAACAAACAGTTCAAGCAACACATCTCACGTGCATTTGCTCCAAAAGCCACTCCAGAGCCCGGCATCCAGAAAAGGGCTGCCGCCTCTGGAGGCAACAAATAGACGAACCCTCTCTAGGCGGCTGCTAAGCTCCGCTTTCCAGGGTCCTGCCCGGCTACCGTACCGTGCCGGTAAGCACAAGAGCTTCTGATGGCCCAATTGTCTTTTGACATGTGCTTGCAGGGTACCTACGCTGTTGTTGGATGATGGAGCACCTACTATGACACCATGGCACCACTCCACACGAACAAGCTCGAACTCTCATCTCAATCTGAAGCGGCCCAACAACGTCGGCATTAGACAAACCGCGCGGACTGATTTCACATGTCAATACCAGCACCACTGGCGGATGCCTGCCGGAGTCACGAATCCCAACCATGAGTCTCGATATTCTCAATGACGTCCTCAAACAGTGGGAGGACTAGTGCCTGCTTTGTCCGCGCCTCACAATCCTACATCTTGAACTCTGGAGCGTCGCCTTGCACAAGCCATAGGCCACATATCTTGTCATATACGTCATTGTTTGTGGTGGCAAACAATAGCATATTGAGGCTGCAAAAAGACTCCATTTTTTGGAGATCCGCGAGGGATGCTGGGTGCATTTTCTGCTCCAATTCCTCGCCACCCCCAGGACTACTAGGTCACTCCCAGAGCGATGAAACTGACGTCGTGCCTGTCACGAGAGCACTTTGGATTCAAGCCAAGTGTGAGACTGACAGAATTGCACTGGATAATTCCTACGAAATAGTTAGTTTTGGTTCGTCGAGACAGCGGAGCTTATTCAAGCCCAAGCTTAGGTCAGGACCTGCGAATAATCAATTCTCGACGTTGCTCTGACCCTCGATAAGTAACGGCCCCAACACATCCCGAGATTTTCTGGGGTTCAAACCACAAACAGACCTATACAATCCTCCGTGGCGCAATTGGCTAGCGCGTCTGACTGTTATTACCACTGTTCCCGCGACAGGAATGCAATCAGGAGGTTGACAGTTCAAGCCTGTCCGGGGGAGCGTGTATTGTGCGGTTGCCAAAGGCTACGCTCGATGTGATCATACATACAAGGTCCTCAACATTTCTTTTTTTTTTCTTTCCATCCACAGCGCAACCAGTCAGCCCATCTATGTGACTGCTGAACCCGAGCCGGTTGATGGGATAGATACATCAGAAGGTTGACTGTTCACCCTTGGCCAGGACAGATGGTTTTTACTTATTGTTTTTGCAGGCTATCGATACAAGGTGATAACATGGTTGAATTTGTCGTCTGACATCGTTGATGACACTGTACTGTGCTGTCATGCCGAACAACGCAGGTCGAGACTCGATGGCTCAATATACAAGACGACATAGTCCATGGCAGCCAGATCACATGTTTCCAATTGACAGCTGCAAAGCTGCAAAGCTGCAGAGGAGGGCGCTGGCGTCTCGCTCATCACGGTCGTTCATTATACAGGATAGCCTATCGTACCTTTATAGCTCGTTTCGCTCTTTGCATTATCTTCATTCCCCGTCAAGACATCTCACATTCGGCCCGAAACTCTGGTTTGTCAGATCCTTGGTCTCTTTCCTCCGGAGGCCCTGTTGCGCTTCGTCCTTGAGAGTGGAAGCCGGGAGCCGGGAGCCGGGAGCCATGGCCATCATTCGTCTTCAGGGCAAGTCTCGTGTGTGCAGCTTCCCGCTCATGATCCGGCGACATTTGCCGCCGGGTCATTGGGCTGCATCACTTGGTCTCTTTCTTTCCCTCGGTCGTCGTAGAGTCTGGCTTGGCCTCCGTAGGCTTGGCGTCTTCTTCCAAAGCGTTGCCGTCAATTGTCCCTGTCTTCCCTGCTGGCGATACACTAGCCTCGGATTTATCGTTCTTGCCATCACTTTCCTCTTCCTCTTCAGAGTCTTTTTCGGTTTCTTGCTTGTCTGCACTTTCAGACTCGGTGGCATGCTCGACTACTGTCGGTGCATTTGAGGTCGTCTCGTCGTCTTCGCCTTCGTCCTCTGTCGGCGTGTCCGGCTCGACGGGCACGTCCTCTTGCACGTCGATCTTGACAGCAGGGAACTCATCGCCCTCGGCGTCCTCCTGGGTCGTGGGGTCACTCGCGGTGACCTGCACGGGCTTGCCATGTCCGCGGTCGCCCTCGTCGTCCGCCGAAGTCTCCACAATGACGGGGACCTCCACCTCCGTCTCCTCGCCTTCGTCCACCATTTCTGGCCTCGAGATGTGCATGTTCCCGAGCTTGGACGCCACGTCGGCCTGTTCGTCTTCCCGCTCCTCAATGACCGTTGTAACGATGCTGCCTACCGACGGCCTGCTAAGATGTCTTGCCGTGTTGGATCTTCGCGCGTGGAAGTTGTGCTTGTCGTCATCGGGCCCCTCCCCGGACTCGCCAGTCTGTGCTGGCGGTTTCGACATGATTGCGACGGGGGGCCGCTTCTCCTCCTTCTCCACGATGGCTGGCTCGAGCCCCTCTGCCTCCGGCGGCAGCTTATAGTTTTCCGCGGGCAGTAGATCGAACAGATCACAGACAGTCTTGAAGAAGACATATAAGCCCGTCTGCGACTCGACGGACCAGAACACGCCACGGTGCTGGAACCAAGCGTGCGCGAATATCCGGTGGAGGCGGCGGAAGACGTTGACGAGGTTCTTGAGAACAGAGCTGCGCTCCGAGCTGTCAGCGCCCAGGACGATGCGGCTCGGGAAGATCTTGGGGTTCGTGACAACGTTGGCGGCCCAGTCGAGCGTGTGGCAGCAGTAGTCGATGGCGCAGCAGCTCTTTGGCTGCTCGTGCACGGCGCAGAGAAACTGCCACTCGGATGCGCGCATCTCGGGGCACGTCGCGGACGAGCAGGGCGGGGTGTCAAAGAGGAATCCAACAATGAGCCCGTTGCACTGCGCGATGAGGAAGCGGCACAGCTCGTATAGCCACAGTGTGCGCTCGACGCCTGGCGGTGGTGTAGCGAGAGCTAGAGCTGTATTTCGGTTGATGGGGGTTGTGTTCGAGGCCGTGTGGTGGTAGTGTAAGGCTGCCAGGTGCTCCTGGGACGAAAATGCGGATTCGAGCTGTGATGGGGCCTATGTGTCAGCGCGGCACCCCCAAACAGACGCATGCTTGAAGTATCATACCTCGCTAAAGGGAATCAGAGGAGGCCCAGCGGCCATGTTCTCAGCCTTGGTCCCGACATGTATGCGTCGCTTAGCATTGGCGGCGATGACGGCCTGATTTATCTCTCGAGACTCGGGGCCGCCTAAGCCGTTAGGGCCGGGGGATTGGATCTCTGCGGCAGGCGGTGGACTTGGAAGCCGTGGAGAGCTCTGCGCTTGGGACATTGCGAACGGAGCTCAATCGATGGGGGCGCGCGGTCGTCTCGGTCTAGATTGGTAGCCGCGTGGTTCGTTGCGTCTTGTGTCGTCGTTGGCGCAAGCGCAAGGCGGCACTGTTGCGGAGGGTGTTATTCTCCAACTCTGTGACCTTGGTGAGACTGCAGGCCAAGGCAGAGGCGCAAGAGTTGACTCTGTCTGTGCAACGCAATGGAGCAGCGCGGAGGAGTACAGGAGAGGTTGCTCGACGTGGTGTTGTTGCTGTCAAGCAAGCAGCGCGAGGCAAGCTGGACAACACGCCCAGAGACCCCTGGCAGTGCTAAGGCTGCCCAGGTTGGTGGCTGCTTCTCACCCAATGACAACCTCGCATATGTGCCCCGCCGTTATGTCATTTCGATTCGATCTCTTCAGGTTCCAGGTCCCGATGGTATGCGCCAGTGCAGGGTGCTCAGCTTCCATTTATCGCCCATGGGATCCCGAATGAATGGCTTCGATCTTGAGACATTAGCTTTGAAGAACGACTGAGTGGCCCGCAGAGTCCGTCAACGTTTACGATTACGCGCAGCCGTGACCAACCCCGCCATGGACATTGACTCTGACGATGATGCTCCCCCAGAGCTGGTGAGCACCGAAGTCGGCCAGCAAGGGCCTGAGGGCGCACCAATCTTCAAGGTTCCCATCACAATCGTCACCGGTCAGAACATGCACCGCAATAACAAACTATGCAACCGTTTTCGCTTGCTGACATGTCATTTCCCAGGTTACCTCGGAGCGGGCAAGACAACCCTGCTCAATTACATCCTCACAGCCCAGCATGGCAAAAAGATTGCCGTCATCATGAACGAGTTCGGTGATTGTAAGTGCCTGGCTTCCGCATGGAAAACCCCACAGGCATCGGCTCATCAAGGGACAATCACAGCTCTGGACATTGAAAAGTCTCTGACCGTCAGCAAGGGCGACGAGAAAGTTGAAGAGTGGCTAGAGGTTGGCAATGGCTGCATCTGCTGTTCAGTCAAGTATGCATGCTGTTACACACGAGGCAGAACCCTTTGCCACTCCGGCTGACCGCGTGGCCAGGGACTCGGGAGTCAACGCGATAGAGTCACTCATGGAAAAGAAGGGCAAATTCGACTACATCCTCCTCGAGACAACAGGCCTTGCCGATCCGGGAAACCTGGCACCGCTGTTCTGGGTTGACGACGGCCTGGCGAGCACAATATACCTAGATGGCATTGTGACTCTTGTGGATGCCAAAAACATCATTCGCAGCTTGGAAGATCCGGCAGGCAAGATCGACGAAGGTCACGAAGATCATGGCCATGGTCCCCTGATGACAACTGCGCACGTGCAGATATCGCATGCGGATGTCATTGTCGTCAACAAAGCCGATCTTGTGACCGAGGCCGAGCTCGAAAGCGTCAAGGAGAGAATACAGTCCATCAACGGGCTCGCTAGGCTTCACGTCACCAAGCAAGGTGTCGTTCCTCAACTGGAGGGATTCCTGCTAGATCTGCACGCATACGACCAGATTGAGAACCTCGACAGCGCCAGCAAAGGCCACAGCCACTTGGATCCTGTAAGTTCTTCTCCCCGACCCATAGGTCATGCCTAGAACTCGCTTACCAAGAATACAGACGATTGCCACAATAGCGGTCAACCTGCCAATACTACAGCCAGCACAGCTAGAGAAGATGGATGCGTGGCTGAGATCTGTTCTCTGGGAGAGCGAGGCGCCCGGACAGGAGGATCGGACTGATTCTCTGGAAATCCATCGGCTCAAGGCTAGGCTGGTGTTTAGTAATGGTGCTGTCAAAATGGTGCAGGGCGTGCGAGAAGTATTTGAGATTGTAGATGGGCAGAAGGCCAGTGATGAAGGGCCATTAGCGGGCAAGGTCGTCCTCATTGGCAGAGGCGTGAAGGAAGTCGACTGGGATGCCAGCCTGCGAACGGGTCTCGGAATGGCGTAACCCCAAGATGCGGCTCTCGACGTTTCCTGATGAGCGCGTATCGTATATGAGATTGAATTCGTTATCCTCCTCCCGGTGTAGTTTTTGTTGTCGTCGTAAGAGGTGCCGGGTGCCCTCAAGGTGCAGGTAGGCATGGTATCTCGAGGTTGCGATGCGCACGGACCAACGCTGGAAGCGGCTGACTGGAAGGCCCCCCAGCCAAGCCCGGAGAGTACTGGCCTGAGGCGCGAGGCTGCTGCAGGACAGTTGGAACCTCCATCTGCAATTCGACTGCCATTTTGAGTGGGCAGCAGGATCGCCATTCCACCACCACACAAGGGCAAGACACCTCGCAGACGCCCCGGCCCCAGCGCAACACCAGCTGGCCTCCGACAACATCACAACACACACACACACATACACAGCGAAGAGGCGCCCCAGACGAGCCTTTCTCGAGTGCCCAATCCAGGTAGACCAATCACGATGAACCGACCAGGTAGTCCTCCCCAGTCCCCCATGCCATCATCGCTGGCCTCGCGTGCCCCACTGCCTCTGCAGAGGCCAACTTCGACGACCCTCACGATGCTCCAGCCGCGCCCCCCGACCCAGGACGACAAAGGCAGTGCGCAAGTCGCTGCGATCCAGCCAGTCTCTTAGCGACACTAGAGCAGTTTCTGGCTGAGCATTGCCCAGCTTCCACGCCCATTGGCGCTACTTGTCCCGCTCGAAACACCATACCCAGATCCGACAATAGGCG